CATGTCTATATAAAGTGACAATCTTAATGAATAAATGTAATACATTAATAAAATTTATGATTTTAAGTTGCTAAAAATGCCTAACTAACTGCAGATATACATAATACTGAGGTCTTTCTCCAATGAATATTTGCTGAAGAGAAGTGTGTGACATATTTGATGAATGGACAAAGTAGCCTTGCATGGTCAAAGTACTGGGCATAACCCAAACAACCACTATTTAATAACTTCTAAAATTTTTAAAATATGTGTGTAGTTATACATATATAAAACTATGAACATTTATATACACTTTGGTCATTTATGTTCAACTCAGAAAACAATTTTGATTAGCAAAGTCTCACTTGCCTCATTTACTGTATGACTCAAACACTGAAGCTGGAGAAAAGTTTTTTCTCTTAACTAAAAGCATTCTGAACATGATAATGAAATAACAATTTCAAGTACAGCCATTTAGGTGTAGTAAATTTTACACTTCAAGGAAGGAGCCCAGAAGAGATGTTTGTCTCAATGACAACATTTTTCTCATGAATGGAAGCATCGGTTCTGAATAAGCTAAATGTATTTGAAAAGGAAGCAACATTGCTTCAATGATTAAAATATAACACAAGTTTATACCAGACAGTCAGGGTGATCTGTCAATGGGACTAATTAGTTTCAAAAACAGAAGGAAAAATGCAACTAGGGTAATGATAATAATAATAAAAAAAACCCACTCAACTTCTGTAAAGCAATGAAGAGAATTAGTTTTAGCTTAATAGTGGTGTTTAGCTTCTTTGGGAATGTCTATCAGTAAATGGAAGCTGGCACTCTATATTAAACCAGCTAAACTGCTTGATATAAATAAGGCAGTGCATAGGTAAGTTGCCTAGTGGTGGTGAATCAATGTTAGAAAACTTTAGTGCCTTTGCCAAATGATGACATGTGATACAGCACATGTAGATGAAGATTTGCCATATGTCCATCACTGTCAGAAAACTGAACTTTGGGGAAGTAGTAACCAAGAAGATACATAGTTTGTGTTTAAAACAAGAAGCAGTCCTTTGGCAAATGAACCCCAGATGAATAGACTGTAAAAGCAGAGGAGTAAAATGAAGCAAAGTGAGCAAAAAAAAGAAAAAGAAAAAGAAAAAAAAAAGAAAAGAAAAAGAAATCTGAATTCAATAAATACATTTTTTGTCATTTCTTGATTTCTAAATATTTAGTAGATTAGAGTGTTTTGATATAATAATTCAGGAAATAGAGAAAGAATTTGGAAAATGAGTAAATACTATGGGAAGAAAATATGCAAAAAAGTTTTAGAATGACAATATTTTTGAATGAAATTCAAAATAGTATCTATAACTATAATCCAATTTTCTTATTCAGGTCATTGACTAGGTATATAAACACCACTTTTGTTTATTTATTTATGGTACTCAGTTATACAGATTAATGGATTTCATTGTGGCATATTTGTGCATCCACATAACATAATTTGACCAATTTCATTTTCCAGTACTTCCCCTTGTCCTAACCTTCTTCACCTGACCCTTTTCCTGTACCCTGCAACTCTCTCTTCTGGTTTCATGAGACCCTTTTTCTCCTTTTTTTCTCTCAAGCATCCATATATGAGAGAAAACTAAAAACTCTTTACTTTCCAAATATGGCTTATTTTGCTTAACATGATGCTTTTCAGTTCCATTCATTTCCCTGAAAATAACATAAATTTGTTCTTCTTTATAGCTGAATAAAACTCTTGTATATATATGCAATTTCTTCACCCCTCAACTCTTGACAGACATTTAGGCCAGTTCCATAACTTGACTATTGTGAAGTTCACTGCTATAAACGTGTAAATGTGTATCTCTACAGTATGTTGACTTTCATTCTTTTGAGTATATACCAAATAAATAAACACTGCTTTTAAAAGAAACTTCTAGGATTAGTAGAATGAAAACATTCTTCATAATCCTGTAGTCTAGACTTATTCAAAATACATTATCTGTTATTTTAAATTATTGGACATCACATGTATCATCTTAAGTCAAAGTTAAGATGTACTTGGTGAAAATATGTTCTAAGTGTTCTATAAAATATTGACATTTCCTGTCATTAAGAATGGTTTATGTGAGAGAATTCTACCAGTCCGGGAGAGGTATGTTGTAATCAGGTCTAACTATCACATAAACTATTCCAGTGGACTATCAAATTTTCATATTATAGAATATAAAATGGTTATCAAAAGTTAGCATTCAATGCCATCACCTACATTAAGAAAGAAAGCAAAGAGAGTAGAAGCAATTTCCATAATTAGATAAACATAGGAAATTGCTATTCTTGTTATTTTTTTTAGCAAGCACTCAGGTGGCTTATATGATTAAAATAATAATAGGAAATTGCTATTCTTGTTATTTTTTTTAGCAAGCACTCAGGTGGCTTATATGATTAAAATAATATGACTTATACATCAGTTTCACTTTAGCATTTTGTACATAAAATGTATCAGCCCACAGTAAGTTGCAGATAACATATGTGAATGTGCTTGTAAATTTGTTAAGAATATGCTTATCAACAAATATTATTAGCAGCAATGCCTTCCTTAAAGTCCCTTATTTCAAGATAAAGAAAAATTTCTGGGAGAACACACCTTCTTCTTTCCCTCAATACAACAATGTGTAGTAAATAAATTGACCCCCCAAAAAAATCAAGGTAGGTTCCCAACTGTGGGCATGCTAGCCTAGTACATATGGGCATGGACCTTAGGCTGGTGGTACTGCAAAAGGAGACTGCTATCAGAGAATAAGAGCCAGGAACACTAGTTTATAACTATAACTAGAAGAGACTGTTTCAGCAGTGGTGAATCCATGGAGGACATGTTGCAGGTATAGTGGGGACCTTTATCATGGCTTCTGTTTTTTTTTTTTTTTTTTTTTTAACCATTCAGCAATCTAACAATGTTTAGTAATGACTAAACCTACTGAGAAGTCAGAGGGAAAGTATTCCCCATAATACAGCACAGGGCAGGAGGAAGGCAGGCTTGTGGTTTGGGAACAATTGATTAACGGTATAGATACCATCAGAGAAAATTTCCCTACCAGTTAAATTATCCAAGGTACCAGATACTTTTTGTGATTTCTGACTCTGAGAGTGTCCAGCTGTTGCCTCTAACAGCCCGGATCTGTTAGATCTGTGTGCAGATGTGCATTGCATCTTCTTTTAAAAGCAGTGTTTATTTATTTGTTGCATCTGTGTGCAGATGTGCATCCTCTTGGAGGATGCCAGCCACTACCAACACAAAGACCCTAACAAAGGTACTTGGCTTGCTGTATTTGATTTCCATCACTGCTTACACAGATAATCAAACACAACAGTTTTGACTAAGTCAATAACTTAACCTTAGAATCTAAATTTCTAAGACTAGACATAAGAATATTTCCATAGTGGTTTAGAATTTGAAATTAATCACTGAGGATAATGTTTTAAAAGTTCAATACAATTATCATCCATTTGGGAGTTTTTATAAGGTAAATAATCTTCAGAACATGAATTATAACTGAAATGTATTTAAGATACATTTTAACTCTGACCCACTATCATTGGGTTAATATGGAATAAACCACAGTAGAATTAAAATAAGGAAGTGGATAATTTCTTAAGAACATCCTAGCCTCAGGAATTTTGAGTCCTTTGTTAGAATTTAGTTAAGTCTCCAAAGGTAAGGAAATTGAATTTTTTGCACCCTACAAGGAGATAAGCTTGACTATTTTCAGTTAACAAAGTATTCTAGAAGTAGTAAATCACCTATTCAAAACTCAGACTTTTATAAAATCTATAATAAAAGAAAATGTACAAGGATTGAAGTAATTGTGTAATGTGATTTCTTTGGTATAGATCAAAATTATTCACAGAAATTTAAGATACAGTATGAAGCCATTAACCTCACCATTATTCATTTTCAAAAGATAATTTAGTAACCAAATGCATTCTGTCTTGATCCTACCATTATTATTAAGTTGAATAACTTCTGTGTAGAGGATTTTGATAGGTTTCAGAATTCAGATTTACCCCACATTTTTTTTCCGTCAGCAATAACAGTGATCCAGTATGTTAGCTAAAATGTAAGGTGGTGTATCAGATTCAGTTTCACAGGTAAAGTGGTTTATGTAAATTTGCTTTGAATTTTGTACAGGAAGCATTGAATCTTATATTCACTCTGAATGTTTATTGTAGGGTCTTATTTTTTTTCCATTTTACATGCTCTTTAAGGTTTTATTTTTAAAGAATTGAATATTTTCATTCTTTTATGATTTTTCCCATATAATTTTTCAATAAAGAGAAAAATAAATTTAAACAATTATTATAAATTGCCTTTTTAAATTTTCAAATAATATAATAGTACAACAAATATAAAACAAAAGTTCCTTGTAATTTGATTCTTGCACTTCAACCATACTCAATGTTTGGGTAAACATTTTCTCCAAAATGTTTGCATATGCAAAACTATATTAATACACTATTTTACATCTCATTATTCTACGTGACAATATTTTGTGGATATGTTTACATATTTTATCTGTGCACAGTATTTCATGTTATGAATGGATTGAAGTTTATTTAGTCAATTCATTTCTCATGGATATATATAGATTATTTCTATTAATCTTTTATTTTCAGTTCCAGACAATAGCTCATGAATGTCTCTGTACTGGGCCAGATGCTTTTGGAGGATATATTTCTAAAAGTGCAATAGTATAAAAATTACGTTCAGCTTATAATCTGGCAAGTGTTGCTGAAATTTTCAATAAAATTTTACACAAGTTTATATGCCTATGATGATGTTTAAAAGTATATAAACATTATTTAATGAAACAAAGACCTCACTTCTATGCCTTTATTAACTATGCACCACTTTTTATTTCCTCCCCACACCAATGAAAATAGAAGTGTACTAAATGGAACAGGTAATTGTTTACAGTTCTCTGAGGTTTGACAAAGAATCACTTACACAGAATCTAAGGTGACATTTAAATTTAAAATGCATTATTTTATTTACAATTTACAAATAAACAAAAAAACACACTGTAATACATGATTGATTCAAAGCTTCATCATAATTACAACCATGTTAACATGTTGAAAAATATGCACCTTAGAAAGAATAAAATGACTTAGTTTTGTGTCAACACACCAAACACACACACATAAACACACACACACATATAAAGCCACACACAAATGAGAATGAAAAATGTTATATGTTTTTCATGAAGCATAAAACTGAGATGGTGTCCCTCAATGGGAAAAATAATCATTCCAGAGTTTTAATAGGTAATGATCTTAGATGTTACAGTTCTGCAAAATAAATTAATTTATGTTAATTTAGAATAGATTGATTTACTTTATATTGCTGGGGTTCCTTCAGCAACATCTTCTCATCTTTTACTTTACTTCATGGTGAGTTTAGTAAAAAAAAAAAAAAGTAGAAGAGAGAATAAAATGAAATATTCTAGAATACTGACATTTTCTGTAATGTGAATATGGCCAATTTAGATAGATAGATGGATAGATAGATAGATAGTCCGAATTTACATTATTTGAGTTACATAATAAAGATAAGGCCTTAGAGGGAGTCCAGTGTCGCCAAATGGTAAATGAAAGGCTGGAGATCTGTACAAATCTGTTTCTGAGTAGGAATAAATAGTAAATCTGCCATTCTCTCTGTGCTAAAGAAAATAACTTATCACCATTCATTAGGCCAGCGATGTTAAACTGGCAGGGATTTAATTCCATATTATGCTCAAAAGAGGTCAGGAATTGAGAAACCAGTCACTTCAGGGATTATGTTTTGTTTTCCGTGTGTGCTGCACCACGTAACTGAGGGTGAAATATAGAAGGTGACAGGGAATCTAAATTCAAAAGGTCACAGGGACTAAATTGTAAGAAATCTTGCACAGACAGGAAAGTCTCCACAGATGAAAAATGAAAAGAGAAATTGAGTAGAAAATTGCTGGGGTAGATTTTTTTTCCTAGATACTGCCTAATCCATGAACAGAGTTCACAAAGTCATGATCACTCAGGGATTTTTCTAAACAAACCATAAAAAGAGAAAACAATACTGAAATGATGAATTATCAAACAACTTTGAATATAATTTTTTCTAGGACAAGTATGTGTTAAATACATTAAAAATTTTGTGATATACAAAATTTAAAAAAACCTCTGTAACATTTTAGCAAAATGTGAAAATTAATGATCATTTTGTTCTTTGATTGTCTTTTAAGGAAGAATGGGATTTTAATAAGCAGAGGCGATACGGGGGTATATGAGTGAAAGAAAGTAATACCACAAAGGTTGAAATTGTTTGTAGTTGTTTCAGATATGATGCAAACTCTAGGCTACTTCGCAAACAAAATAAATAGAAGAGGACAAGACTGGAAAAGTTGATCTGACTATATTAAGAAGGTCCTTGAATGTTAATATATTTGGACTTTATGAAATAAACCTTAATGAACCATTGAAATTATGGAATGATGAAAGTTCTGATCTTGCTTAATGAACACACTCATCTAGGAATGTGTTGGTTGAATCTAGTAACTTTCAATAGAGAAGACTATAAAGTGACCCTTGCTATTTTATCAGAAGGAGTAAAATAAAGCACCAGTCTCAATGTAGTTATAAAGAGAGCAACAAATAAGTCAAGTGTTTCTACACTGGGTGACTTAAAATATGGATTATTTTTATAATATTATGAAACATCTTTATAAAATAAAGTATAATTGTTTCATAATTTATTATTTTATTGTGTCTTTCTTTCATTTTGGCTTTACTTAGAAAAATCCCTAAAGAAAGATAGAATTAACTATACCACAAATTAGCCAGGATCTTGGCAAAAAAAAAAAAAAAAAATCCAAGATGGATCACTCAAGAGGTTCTGAGAAGACACAATTTTAATTTTGGCATTACTCAAAGAATGGGTAATATTTCTGTGACTCTAATCTCTTTTAACAGCTGTACAGTTAAATCATTTATTGATTTAAATCCTTCATCTATTCAACAGTTACACCTGTAGAGAACAAAACCACCTTGTACTTATTATTCTTATGATTCCAGTCTTCATTATAATTTCTATGATGTAGAAGATGCACAACTCTTGTTGAACTGAACTGAAATTAGTATGCAGATGTGTAATTCAGGTCACAGAGTTGGAAAGACAAGTTTTACAAGTCTTCTAATCAGAAATGAAATCTAAATGTGCAAAAATAAACTTGTATTTTTAATTTTGTTTGATGTTTATAAGTGCTATATGTTATTTCAGATAATAATACTTTGAAATATATTAAGATACTTCAGTTGGAGATTAAAGATTTTTTATATTAAAATTATAAATAACATTTTCAAGTAATACTGCTTCATTATGTTATTTCTTTTTCTGCTATAAACCTGAGATGGAACTAGGTCATGATTATCATTATCAATATCATCAAAGACAACCTCAAAAATTAATACTTCTAAGTTCCTTTTTTGTGTGAAACATGGGATTGAAATGTTTGTATTATTAAAATATTTACAAATATCCACTTATAACCAATGAGGAATTTGAGCCTGAGAGAAGTTTTATGATTTTTTTTTTAAGGTCACAGAGCAAGTGGAGAAATAAGAACTGGAATTTAAAAACACATCTTTGTCTATAAAGTAAGTGTTCTTAACCACTTTATGTTATTCAGAGAACTAATCTGAAAATTAAAAAAAATAACTCAACAAACATGTTTTAATAATTTTTTTCAGCTAAAGAGAAAGCTGGCATAATTTCTGACTCATATCTGATCTGCAAATTGCCTCTTCACTGAAGAGTCCACAGTGTCCTAGATGTGTCTTATCCATAGTCACATGCCTGGATTGGAGGTTATCAAATTTGAACAGGAGAAAGATAAACAATTAAAATAGATCTCCAAACAAGGAGGTGGGGAACAAGTCTTGGGGACGACTGCACTGAACCAGTTGGAGTGTTCCAGTGTTTGAAGGCAAGAACTTTATATGGCATGTTCAATCTGGACTAACTCTAGATAACAGACCAAAAGTTCCAGGCTTTTATGACCTCTTTGATCATATCTCCACCAGTCAGACTGATCCATTTTATGGCATTAGCTATGAATGAAAGCTAGAAACACCACTCCATGGTGTCCCTATAAAATGTAAAGTTGGGATTTTCCGAACGAACAGGTTTTATATCAGTGCTTCTCAAATTCACTCCTGCATCCAAGTAGAAAAATGGCATTCAGAGAATTACACACAACAGAGTCACATGAACTTTTCTAAACTATTCCTATCTCATTCATAACCTGCCCTGTTGCCACCAATATGATACTAAATTTATATTACAATGAGGATCTCTCTCTCTCTCTCTCTCTCTCTCTCTCTCTCTCTCTCTCTCACTTTTTGGCAGAACATTTCTTATCAAATTAGTAGTAGTAATTTATTTTCTAGTAGTTTGGATTGTATTACTCTGTAAATAAATTTTGGTTAATAAATAATAATAATAGTTGTATAATAGTTTATAACTTTAGGAGTTTACACTTTAGAAGCTGTAAAGTTCTTTCTTCTTTTCTTGTTTAAAAGTATATTCAGGTTGAGAAACTCTTTTCTGGAGGACTCTTATGACTGGGACAAAAACATATCTTTGGTTGGACTCAAGATGGTCCAGGAAGAAAGAGGTTAGAAAGATAGGCAATGGTTACCTAGGGTGATAGCATTTGGATGGCTTCAATTGTGGCAGAGATGAAGTGCTACATTTTTGGGTTTTTTTTTACCAGCCCTCCTGCCAGGAAGCGTAAGTCCTGATGGATGCTCTCCAAAGGATTTTCTATTTTTGGAAAGTTGTCTTGCCAGATTCAGCAGGAGGCACCAGATTTACTATGCGGGCATATTGAGATTATGAGGGATGTTTTTATGCTTCTTGGTTTGAGAACGAATGCATTTGAAAAGCAGGATCCTCCTTTGGAATTGTAGGTGGGTTGTGGTGAAATGGGGTTTTTCTGAATTGTCCGCATGCTCATGATTGCTAGGGTATACAGATGAACGTGTAACTCTTTGGGGGTGTTTTCTTCCCAGAGAGTTTCCATGGTTGTGCATTGCTCTACAGGTAATCAATCACATCTTCACAAGACAAGGCCAAGTATGTGGGGATATTCTGTTGTAGATCTGTGAATCAACTCTATCAGTGCTGGTATTTGGCTTTTGATTAGGTCCTTTATCAGCATAATCTTCTTCCAGAAGGCCAATGATAATCAAAAACAATTTTAATGTATTTTTATATGTGAATATATTTATATGCTTTTATTTTCTTTCTATGCCATTTTTCCCCACACATATATGATATCTGGCCACTAGATCATACATTGAATACAGTCAGGTCAGAGAGGGAGTTTCAAGTAGCCAACATGATCTTCAACATGACATCCACTCATTCTCCCTGGACTTGGTGGCTGGCATGGAGCAATGTGGCCCTGGATGAAGTATGTAGGTGTTCCTTTCCCCAGTCAGGGAGCAAGTGCCAGAGACTGGGTTGGCAGCAGGCTTTTGCAGTCTACCCAAAGATGATTTTTTCCAAAATATCATAAAGTTGATGTAGTCCCAAGGCAGCTGTTAAGAGTTGATGTATAGAAGCAAAGGGGGCTGTGAGTATTGGGAAAATAACTCACTTTTTCTATGAATGGTCAGGTCCACCCCAAAGGCCCAGAACGGATATGAATACTTGAGAATATTAGTTGTTCTTTGCTAGTTAGTAATTTACCAGTAAGATAGTGAGAGGACTATATTAACTATGCATGCAAATGTTAAAACTTTATTAATGGCATGCTATCATAGATACTATATAAATATTAATAAATGTCAAAAGCCCAAATATTAACATATTCATAAAATGCTATCCAATGCTAATAAGGACATGGATACATAAATGCAGAAGGTGATCAGAAAGACTTGGTAAGTATGATCAGCTTTCTTCCAACCATCATTTGTTCTTTCTTTTGTAACTGTGGATCACAAAATTAGTGAACAAAAAAAATGTAAGTTATCTGTTATGTGCTTAACACTGGGTTAAATGCTGGGGGGAGGGGTAGGCTATAAAATATATTATACATCATCTTTTCCTTCACAAAACTTGTAATATAGTCAATGAGGCAAAGCAAACACAACATCAAATAATACAAGCATTTAAAAGAACCACGCTAGGAAACCAGAGGAAAGATGAAAAAGGCTTCTTTCTTTTTAAAGGTAGTGAAATTCAGCATAGATAAGAAGATGAGGAGGGCCAGTGAGTGTTAGGTGAGAGACACCACATAGAATATCACGTGGACTGAAAAGTGGAAGACCATTTGTGTTTAATGATAATGAATAGACAGAAATTTCAATGGACAATTTTTATATTTAAGGGAGAAAATCTGGACTGGGTAGAGAGCTAATAGATAATGCCGACAAATTTAAGCCAAGTATATAAGGTTAAATGAACACAGGAAGAATGCATCTGTAAAATTTTTTTCTTGTTTCTTTTGCTTTTTCTATAATGAAGCAAAAATATATAAACTTTATAATAGCCTTATCATAAAATCATGGATGTGCAGAACAAAAACAGTGATGTCCAAAAGATCATACATAATTCATCTTATATATTACTCTCTCTCCATATATATGTATACATAAATACATTTAATTGACTTATATCCGGTATCTGATTTTCTTACATATTATGCTCACATATAATATATCTCCATTACATATGAGCTTCGTGATAACTGTTTCTCTCATGTCTATATGACCTGGTTTGCCTGAGCCATTATTATTTCATGGTTATTTTGGGGGCATATCACATCCCATTAAAATATACATATTTTAAATAATAAAACATTTCATAGATTTATCAAAATGACAGTTCAGCTTTGCTGCCAAAGCATGTATATTTAAAATAACCACATAACTTAAACTTTTTAGCATTCCCTTTTACTGTCCCTATTTTCCCAGTTTAGATTTACGTTGTTTGAGTAAACTAAGTAGAGTTTGGAGCAGATTCACAATCTGAACAAAATAGATCAGACTGAAAATGGAAAAAACAGAAATGAATGTCTCACTAGAAAAAGCAATAGAATTTAATGAATGATTACAAGAAAAAAAGTGATCAAATTAAATTTTCAAGTGTTCAAACTGGAATAATAGAAATAAAAGCAATGGCAGAACTTGGAATATGTGGAAAGTTGGAAATATTAAAAAGGTGAACAAAAATGATACAAATACTCTGCTTTTGCTTTTGAAATCCCATGATATTTTTGCATGCCACTGATCTCAACTTGTTTTTAATTAACACATCTGAACTGGTTATTTCCATACATAGATTTATTTAGTTGTAGTGTGAAATCTTTTTTAAAAGTTAGTTGTGATTTTGAGACTGTATTTCTTGAGGTGTTAACCTGAATAATTAGAGATTTTTTTAAGTGTTTGAAATATCTATTTCTCCTACAGATGGGAACTTATAGAGTTGTTTTTACAGATGAGAAACCAAGGTCTGGGGAATTAAGTGTGTTTCTCTGAAATACAAGGTAGATAATAATACTTGGTAATAGTATTATTGTAATAATTGACAAAGTATCAGGCATTGTCCTGAGAGATCTGTACATTGACCATTACTATGCCCATTTTACAGTGGGAAGGTAAGACTCCAAGTGGTTAGAGAAATATCTTAGGGCCACACAGCTATTAAGTGCAAGAGTAGGGATTAGAATATATATATATATATATATATATATATATATATATATATATATATATATATGAACATAAAACCTTTATTTATTTATTTTTATGTGGTATTGAGAATCAAAACCAGTGATTCACACATGCTAGGTAAGCGCTCTACCACTGAGCCACAACCCCAGACCTAGAACCCATATCTTCGAGCTATAATATCATATGGTCAATCACAGGGGCAAAGTGAAGAAGAACAAGTTGTGATATGTTTTCATTCAGAAGATTATGCATAAACTTCACTCATCTAGAGAAACTGCTTTAGAAATATTTCTCTCACACATATAGAGACACATTTGTTGTAGCTAAATATCCTCTTAATTCTGCTGATTAAATCAAATAATGCTCTCACTTGTACTCCAGGATATGCTTACAATCTTTCTTTTTCTTTTTGTACTGGGGATTGAATGTAGGGATGCTTTGCCACTGACCTACATCCCCAGCCATTTTTATTTTATTTATTTATTTATTTATTTACTTGGAGACAGGGTCTTGCTAAATTGCCCAGGGAGGCCCTGGGTTTGGATCCTACTGCCTTAGCCTCCTGAGTTGCAGGGACTATACACATGCGCCACCACATTCCATTTACAAATCATTTAAAAAATGGTCTCTAAGGAAGAATAAGACACAGTCTTCAAAATCACCCATATAGTCTGGTAGCAAAATGGTGGAATAACTTGTAAGTAGAGGTGAAATGTAAAAATTTTAAAAAATTGAAATATATAAATAAAAAAATTAAACCTCAACTGTGCTTAACCTTGAGTTGAGCGATTACTTAAAAAATATATACTCAAACCAAGATACAACAGTCTAGTAGTTATGAATAAGTAGAAATTTAAAATTAGTTTACCAAGCCATTTTCTAGTAACAATAAACACTAAACAAAATTTCTGAAACACTTTTCTAGTATCATGAAGAGAAACATTTGAAATTATAATTGCAAATATCCCACTTAAATGATTGATGATAATTACATTTTTGAATATTTAAATACTGTAAGGATTGTTATTTAATGGAAATATTTTTTAAAGAATGCTGTTTATGTTGTATAATTCCTTCACACTGAGTTGAAACTTGTAAGTTTTACATCTTTTCAAAAGAAACTGATACAAAGATCCTTACACATTTGTTAAAAACCTTAAATAACAAGGTTTCACCTAAGCCAAGAACTGAATTTCCTTAAATTATCATCTAATGTATTAAGATTATTGCAAGCAGTGATGAATGTAATTTTTTTTTTGAGCTGAGAAATTAGGAGATCTTTATAGATGTCAGCACACCCCTTGGATGAAGCAGAGGAGGGATTATCTTGGTTTTGCATGGAGAGGAGGGATATCCCCACACTGCCTTCTGCATCCTGCACAGGGAAGCTCAGGGATCTTGCAGTCTTAGGAAGAATGCAGCCCTGACTTCATTGCTAAGCTCCCCATGCCAAGCCACCCTTACTATATAAAACTCTCAAAGTAGTTATTTTAATATTATTTCATGTTTTAGGTTAGGAAGATTGCAAAACAAAAGACAAAGAAAAGAATATGTCTTATGCTTCTAGAAAAAGAGGAAAAAGTATCATTACTATGATAAACAGTAGAATATAGATTTTTTGAGGCAAATATATATAATCAAAATTTTAGAAGTTTTCTAAACAAATGAAGGAAGAATTTGCCTTAATTTTAAAGGCAATTACTATGAAAACATTTTAAATGCCTACTATTTTAAATAAAATCCTTATTTATAGTTTCTTTTCAATTTGTGCTTTCATTTTTTACTTCTTTCTTAGTTAATAATTTATTTTATAACCACTTATTTATTTATTACACTTCAATATGCTTCTTCATGAAAGCATAGAATGGACACCTATCAGAGTATTTAAAGCCTGTTTAAATTACCTTCTCACCCCTTTCTTCATTTCCACTTTTTTTCTTGGTAGTACATTTGCAAAAAAATCATGAATTTTATACTTCATTAAACAGGGAGGCAAAAGAAAACTATTTCCTAAACTACTCTACTTATTTTAATGATGACTGATTTAATATCTCCCCTTTAATTGGTGTTGGACTCAAACAGAAAATACTGAAGTATTGAAAAACTATTTCATATATTTGTAGACCTATTGTATCACATGTATCTTTAAGCCTGTTAATTTTGTCATTATAAACTGTCACATCTTTTAAAACAATAAAATTTAAAATTCCTTTGAACATGTAATATTTAAGTGTCTAAAACAAAACATCTTTGAAAGATACAGAGCTGGTAGAAATAAACCATGCAAGAAACCACTCATTTTTACAGATAAAAAAATAAAGAAACACGAAGATACTCATTATAAGGAAAGCAATATTTAAAAAATAAAACATAGGTCAATTTGGTGTTAAGGACACTTCCCTGATTATAACATCAAAAATTCTGAAGACAGTTTGAATTTAGCACATCTTTCAACTCCCAGAGAACGTTTTCATTCCTTTTATGGCCTCTTATGTGTTAAGCAACTCCTGACTACCTATGATTTAAAGAATTTGCTAACCTGTGAGACAACCATTCTTTCTTGAAGATCTCACAACACAAACAAACATTTTGCAGGGAGATAGCTATGCTTTAGACTTCAAATAAATAAATGTCCTCATTAATCAGGAGGACAGGGAAGGGTGGGGATGCTGGTGTCGATTTGGAGGTCTAGATTGGGCAGGACTAAAGGGTGAGAAGTGTATAGACACAACCTGACTTAAGAGTATTTAAAGTTTTGAGAACATATGCAATGTTTCATCTTAGATCTGGAGTCTCCTTACACTTACCAGTCATTCTTAAGTATGTTTCAAATTCTCTGTGACTCCCAAGGTGTGGTTCTCAGACTAAAGCAATAGTCACAGGTGATTGGGTAGCTGTGGGTCTAATATGGATGTTGACAGACCTCATTCCAGACAACTCTCAAGCAACCTTTGCAGTGCTTTAAATTCATCTGGGCAGAAATTTTGTTTTCCTACTAATTTTTTTGTTATAAATAAATGATATTTTGATTGTGAATCCCATCTGATTCAAACACATGACCAGGGTAGTTAACTCCTGGACCAAACTCTTATTTATTTTTATACTAATGTTATAATCTTAATAGCCACAGAAATACCTGCATCTCATGTGAAGTTTACATTTGACATACTCAGAGGGACTGCTTCTAAGTGTAATCCTTAATTTCTGAATGAACTTGTGATTTTTAAAATTTAGGTAGAGCTTTATACTGTTAATTTTCTGCTTTTTAAGGGTGCTTCTAACTGTCCAGATATTTGTGTTTTCTTTTGTTTTCCAGTACTCTCACTATTTTCTGAGCTCTGTGTTTTGAGGGAACATTTCATTTATCCTTTTAAAAAATCTAATAAATATATGAACAGGGTAGAATCCAAATGGGAATCCTGAAGAAGTCCAAAAGAAGTTTCTGTCCAGAGTGACATGCCTTTTGGGGATGGTTACTAAAACACATTTTGTAATGTGCTCTCTGACTAATAACAGAGAACTTGCCCAGGGTCAATGCTCAATTTAGACCACTTTTGACATGCCACTTTCAATTCAATGATTTATCATCATATAGTGAAGCTAATCCCTAGTACTATCTTATACCATAAAATTGGCTCCAAATTAAATATCATATGAAAGTTTCCATGTGGTACATAAAAGCCTACTTCAAAGCATACTTTAAAAGAGATTAGGAAAATTATCACTTTCATAGGATTAAAAGTCTTACACACTTAGAATCTTACTATTTTAACATGCCCATTATTAAATTAAAAAGTAGGATTTATTTTTTAACAAAGAATACTTCTAATACACAATCCATTTTCACTATTACTATTTTGGTATTTTTCTGAAATAAAAAATGAGATTCTTACCCCAAAGGCTGGGAATTTTGGTAGGTTGGGAAGTCACAGAGATATTGTTTATAGCATCAAGCTGCTTTCTATAATCATCCACCTGGAAATCATTCACTGGAAAAAGTACAGCCCAATATGAGAATATTGTAATATTTTTGTATTTGTACACATAAAGCAAAGCACAATTTTACTCACATTGTTATGTTAAATTAACAAATACTGAATAGGGAATGTAACATAAGGTAATGTTTCCATGTTCTTAGTTAAAAAAAAGTATAACAGTTAATGTGTAAGTCATCTCCTTAATAATCAGTAGATAAAACTTATTGATTTAAGGTGGCTGTTTCAAATTTACTATTTGCTTCTAAATTCTGATAAGAATAAAGTATTTCACTAGGCCTACAATTATGCCAAAATTATACTATACTATTCTGTGTAAGGAAAATTAAATAATGTCATAAAGATAATATGAGATCTATGGAAACAATTTAAATGTCTTAATTCTCTATGCTTTGTTTAAAAAACAAAATCAATAATGAACTTCTTTCAGATCTAATCATTACAAGACTCTCTTCATTTACATGGCTAAAACAAACCCTAGATAAATCTGAATGTCTTCTATGATGCCTTATTTTTAAAGGGTGCCTATGAATGGTTTAAAATGAGATGGAAATGAACTTACAAACATCCTCACAGGTGTTCCTGCATTCTTCCAAGGATTCAAAGTTGTTTGGATTGCCCAGGCACCCACCGTACTTGAAACGCTCACATTGCTTTGACTGATTGCTATAAAAATACCTGGTAATATAACCTCTACAGATTCCAGCATCTTCCTCCAAAAAGCAGAAATCTGGCTTTTCTAGAAATTATAAAAAATATCAGAAAGTAGTATTTTTTGGTAAATAATTTAGTTATATCCACTAAATTTATTAATAACTAACTGGTATTTAAAGAGTAAACTTGAAGAATAATAAGTACAAATCTGAGTTTTCTGGAAACATTATATAATGTGCAAATTATTCACCATATCTATTGTGGTATTTAGAATAATCATTACACAACCATTGTAACACAGAGTTTTTAAATTAGCTTTTCAATCTCTACATTTCTCACAATAAATCAATAGAGAATTAACTACTTTTTTTCATGAATTCAGTGAATAAACGATGTGGGGTTATTTTATCATGTGCTGTCCTTGTTTTGGAATTACAAATTAGGATGGTAAATTTTGGTTTAATTATTTATGTTTAACTTTGTGCATCAATATTTAGGAAAGATCTATGAATCTTTCATATTATTGAGGTGTAGGGTATCATTAGGGAATGCAGTACCATGTATTGCTTCATTAAGAATGGCTTAAATTTTAAAATTTGGAAAAGAAGATTTGAAGGGTACGGAAGCTTTCATGGTTATTCTTAGAAGTTCCTGAATTCTTAGGCTGAAATTGATATCTGTGGTAGGTATGACATCCTCCATTGCTGCAACTTTTCTTTTCTTCAAGCACTGGAATGATTCCAACAGTGCAGAGGCAGAAAGGAAATACATGTTCAGGGATTGAAGAGGCTTTTGCAAAATCTAATACCACTTCTTTGATAGTGCTCCAACCAGGCTAAACACAGCTGTCACAAAAGTTGTGATACAATGATCTACATTGCAAGCTCTTTCTACGTGCATACTCTGTAAAGAGAATCTAGCTGATTCTCAAATGTATTATAATCACCAAGCTCATTGGGCTTGAATATTTTGGACAAAGCTCCAGTTTCTCCACTTTTTCTTGTAACTCCAGTATTATAGTGGCTAAATGTTGCTTTTATTTCTTACAGTAACTTGTTCTTCTAGCTCAGGGAACCAATACCCACCAGTATTATAGTATGAAAAAAGTAATTATTTTGTAATGTAAATGATATCTACAGCAGTTGCAGATCTGGAGAAGCAGCAATCCCCTATTAAAAAGTTGTTCTTTTTAACATAAAATTTCCTATTTTAGTATAACTTAAAGCTATCATCTATGAATTCTAAATGTACCAATTTGAAGTCAATTTATGTTTATCACCTCTTTTTTTTAGAGTGAATCTTAGTATGATTTCCCTATTTTCTCCTGTTTTTCACAAGTATTTCTTTAAATGGACAGTTAAATTTGCATGTACTTAATACATGCAACATGATGCCTTAAAGCATATATACATGCTGAAAATTAACATGCATGATTTCCCATGGTTATCATTTCTGTACTACGAACACTTAATACCCATTTTACTAGCATTCCTGGAGATTATAATATGTGGTCACTAACTATAGCCACCATGCTGCATGATAGGTCTTTTCAAAGTTTTCTCCTATCCAACTGTAATTATGTGTTTTTTGACTAACATCTTCCCAATAACTCTTCCCCAATCACCTTGACCTCTACTGGTAACCACGACTGTACTCTGTTTTTAGGTCAGCATTTTAAAGTACCATATATGAGTGAGAAAACATAGTGTTTGTTTCTCTGTGTCTGGCTTATTTAATTGATATTCTTCAAGCCCATCTATGTTGTGGCAAATGACAGGATTTTATTCTTTTCTATGATTGAATAATATTGCATTTTTTAGACCATACCATGTTTTCTTTGTCTGTTTATCTGTGGATGACCATTTAGGTTCATTCTGTATCTTGGCTTGTTGTGAATAGTGCATTAGTGAGCACCGGGGTGTAGCCATCTATTCAACATATACATTTCATTTACCTTTATGTATGACCAATAGTGGGACTTCTGAATTATGTGTTATTTTTATCTTTAATTTTAAACTTTTGAGGACTCTCCATGCTGTTTGCCATAGTACCATACAAATTCACATTCCTGATAACAGTGTTATCTTTGTCTTTTTGATAATATCCTTTCTCATAGGAGCAAGGTAAAAACTCACTGTGGTTTGATTCGCATTTCCTTCATTATGCCTGCTGTTGATCTTTTTTTTTTTCCACATAATATACCTGTTTTTCGAAGTGAATGATATTATGACTTACAGTTAAGTGAAATATATGGGGGAAGGAAATACAAACAATTCTTTAATTTTTAAAAAAATATTTAGTTTTTAGTTGTAGTTGGACACAATACCTTTATTTATTTATTTTTATATGTGGTGCTGAGGATTGAACCCAGAGCCTCCCATGTGCCAGGCGAGTGCTCTACCACTAAGCCACAATTCTTTAAATTTTTTTTTTTTTTTGTATCTACCATTTTGTTTTTTTTGTTTTTTTTTATTTTATTTTAATTTTTTTATTTTTTTATTTTTTTTATTGTTGGTTGTTCTAAACATTACATAGTTCTTGATATATCATCTTTCACACTTTGCTTCAAGTGGGTTATGAACTCCCATTTTTAGCCCATATACAGATTGCAGAATCACATCAATTACACATCCATTGATTTACATATTGCCATACTAGTGACTGTCATGTTCTGCTACCTTTCCTATCCTCTACTATCCCCCCTCCCCTCCCCTCCCCACCCCTCTTCTCTCTCTACCCCCTCTATTGACCTTCATTTCTCCCCCTTGTATTATTTTTCCCTTTCCCCTCATTTCCTCTTGTATGTTCTTTTGTATAACCCTGAGGGTCTCCTTCCATTTCCATGCAATTTCCCTTTTCTCTCCCTTTCCCTCCCACCTCTCATCTCTGTTTAATGTTAATCTTCTTCTCATGCTCTTCGTCCACAATGGAGTATTACTCTGCATTAAAAAATGACAAAATCATAGAATTTGCAGGGAAATGGATGGCACTAGAGCAGATTATGCTAAGTGAAGCTAGCCAATCCCTAAAAAGCAAATGCCAAATCTCTCCTTTGATATAAGGAGAGTAACTAAGAACAGAGTAGGGACGAAGAGCATGAGAAGAAGATTAACATTAAATTTTTATAGTACTTTTTTATAAGGGAAAGGAAAGAGTACATTCAACTACTATTATTTTGATTTGTTTTAATTGGTATGTACTTATTAAATTTTATATAGCCTTAACAAGGATATAAAAGTTTTATGTTTAAGAGAAGTGCATAAAATATTGATTATAAAGAACAAAATATTAAATATAATTTATGCTGATATACAATTCACAAATTCTGCATCTGAAAGTTCTTATTGTTCATATGTGGCCCAATTGGAAGACATGAATTTATTTTAGTGCACAGTTGAAAATGCACACATGTAAAATGATTCTTCTTAGGCCTACAAATTAAAATATGGTTATAAAGCAAGAAATTAGTTTCCCATGTCCGTAGATAAAAGAAGTACCATTCTTTCAAATTTGCATATACTTGTTTGCTATAACTTGAACTTAAAATTGTGTGTCACAGAAAGTACATTCTAAGCTATATACAAATTTTCATAAGCATAGAATTTCTAATGTGAACTTTTGTTTGGGCCTGCATATTTGGAAATTGCTTTCTAACAAACTTTTTCCAAGGCACTGAATGAATGTCTACTGTCTTTGCAACTATTTCAATGTTACTGAATCTTCAATTTCAAGTTGATTGAGGTCTTCCTTATATATATGTTTTAGCATTTAATCATTTTTAATGTTAATGTAAATGGAGTTTTATTATCTAGTTTCCATGCTTCTTATCAATCAATAATAATTAGCTTCTGAGTTATTAAAGACATTATATAGAAAATTTTATACTAAAAAATTTACCTGCATATACTTTTTCTAATTTTGTTTTTGGGAAAAGTCAACGTTTCAATGTTGGTATTTCTTTTCATGAAAATAAACCAGGCACAGAAAAATAAGCACAACATGATCTCACTCATATATGGAATACTAAAAAGTTGATATCATAGAAGTTGGAAAATATTTCGTAAATAAAACTCCCTTTCTAAATATGCTGTGTTCTTTGAAATTACAGACAGTTAAAACTTCATTTACTTGAAGTGATGGTCATTACTTCCCTACAAGTAGCAATTTTTAGAAATTATAAATAAATGCATATTCATGTTGCCTATAAAATTTTGCCATTGAATTTATACAGTTGGATTCAAATTTTGGTCAGTGAGTTATGTCTAAAGAATATCAATAAGTTATAAATTTTCAACTCTTTCCTCCACAATTAAATAAAAAATGAACTTTAAATTTTGTATTTTTTCACATTCTGAGTTAATAACTTCTTCTCATTGTTTAAATGTAAAAAGCCATAAATAGTAACTGGAATAAATCAGTTTCTAAACTTTTATGAAGAGGGAATTGCTTTTTTTCCATCTGTTTATAATGTTGTTTCTTGTCCTGCTATCATCTATTCACTAAAAATACTCAGTTCTTATAAATAATCATAAATAAATATTTTAAAAAACCACAAAATCAAAGATGTTCATGCACAGAAAATAATGCTGACAAAGGTAATTATTAGTTGCTACATAGCACCACTGTTTTTTGCATATAAACCTATTAACAACTCAGAGACAAGCATCCATTCAGGTAGAGATTGAATGAAATTTGCTAAAGTCACACAATGCTGAGATTAACATGGAATAGGAGAGTAAATACCTAAACTGGAAAGGCAATTTACTGGAGAGGCAATACTTAAACTCATTATTGGAAGATGTTAAAATAGCATGTGTGGCTCTGGATTCTGAGTAATCTAACTCTAAATACCATGATGCTTTAGAATAAGAACAAATACAATGTTTGGAACCTCTTCCACCAAATATCATGTAAATTATTTCTTATTTTTCATCAGATCCATGGAAACAGAACACCATTTCAAACATCATATAAATGTATGATCAACCTTGTATCAGAGAAACCTAAGAACTGAATATCTAAATGCCTTTTGTACAAATTCTATTAACATGTATGTAAATGAATGTTCACCTTTTTTAAATGTCTTCTTTGATATCTTCTTTGGATAACCTGCAATAAAAACAATACATGTGTATCAATTGCAAGAGTTTATAATGTAATATCGTGACTTTGAATTTAACAAACTAGGATAATATATTCATTACCACTTACGTTATCCTTGTACAGAATACCTTAAGAATTAAAATTATTTTCATTTCCTTCAAAGATTATTTTTACAATTATTGTAACCACAAATCCACCACATTTAAGAAATATACTTTAACAAATAAATAAAGACATAAAATTATACATAGTAATGGGTTTCCATGTGCTGTTTAGATACATGCATATGAGGTTTGAAGGAAGTTAAACATATCTTCTCAAAAAATCATATCTTTAGAATGAAAACTTTAAATTTATTTTCTTCTAGTTTTGTGAAACATATAGCACTTAGTGTCATCTATTGTCACCCTAGTGTGCAATAGCATACTAGAACTGCTTGCTCCTATTTAACTGTAACTTAAGACCCACTGATCAACCTCTCCCAGGATACCCTCCTCTACTTTGCTAGTGTCCCCTGCCTCTGGCAACACCTTTCTACTCTGAACTTCTATGATATCAACTTCTTAGTATTGCATATGTGAGAGATCATGTGGTGCTTGTCTTTCTGTGTCTGTCTTATTTCACTTAACACAGTGATCTCCAGTTCCATCCATGTTGTTGAAAATGACAAGGATTTCATCTTTTTTGTTTTTGTGTTTTGGAGGGGGTGGGGGAGTGGGTCACATGTGCTTCATTTTAACAGTTTCTTTCATTGTCTTTAGGTCCACTGATATTTTCTTCTGTGGACTTAAACTTTCTTACTTTATATATTATATTTTTCAGGTTTAGAATTTCCATTTAGTTTTTTTTTATATTTTTAAGTTTTTCCCATATTATGTTCATGCTTTCTTCAAATTCTATAATGTATTTGTAATAGCTGTTTGAATATTCTTAGCTGCTACCTTTGTCACCTTTATTGTTTCTACCTATTTCATCGAGTCATTATTTTCTCCTAGTTATGGATCACAATTTGCATATTTTGTTAAACATTTAACATTATTTGCAAGGACAGATGATATTTTTTTTTAAACTATCATACTACTGATGAATGGATTTTATTGTCTTCATTTAAAGAATGTTGAAGTTTCTTTTGGTGGGTAGTTAAGTCACTTGAGGATCAGCTGGATGCCTCAGGTTTGTCTTGAAGATTTGCTGGGACAAATCCAAAGTACTCTTCATTCTAGGTAGAATTTAGTTCTATTACAAAATTAAATTCTATATAGTTTTCAGTTATGGGGGGCTTCTGGAATTGTTCTATTAATATATCTATGATAATTATTTCCTCAAACTCATCAGATTTTTATTAAATAAGTGCAAAATTTTATTAAGAGACAAACTCAGAGGGAATTCTATCCAGATTTCTGAGTTTTATTTTCCCTCTGTGCAAATTCATTGTCTTCCATATATTGTTACTAAAGCTACATCTTCCACAGCCTCCTAATCCCCAGTCTCCATCTTCTTCAGTCAAAGTATCTACAGTGCTGCTTTTGGGTTCCCTCCCCTTAACAGTGGTCTAGAATGATTTCATGCAGAAATCAGGGCAGTCTGTGAGGCTCATCTCATGTATTTCCTTTCTCTCAGTGATTATAATCCTGTACTACCTTTTTATTAATGTTTAGAAACAGTTGCCTTGTATATTTTATGCAGTTTTTTTAAAGTTCTTTATGTTGGAAATGAATACCCAGCTCTACTTAATCCATCAAGGCTCAAGATAGAACTCTTTCCTTAGGTGTTTTTTTTTTTTCTTTTTTAAAGTCTAGCAGCATATTTTCTATACACTAGCTATATCCCAAATATTATACTACTGTATAAAAAACACAGGGGTTCATACAACAATATCAAGTGGATTCTGAAGAGATAATGAATGAATGATGACAAGAGATTTACATTTATTTGTGTGCTTGTCCATTATGATGTTTTAAAAGATTAGAACATGGGATGTTACTAATGACAAATGATTATATTTGATAATTTGTAAGTAAAAAATCTTCCGCACAATGTTGAATAATAAGACTTCTGAATTAAAAAAAAAAAAGGAAACAGATGTGAGTGTCAGATAAAAGACCGGTTGATGAAAATAAATAGGCTCCAAGATAAAAAAAGAATGAAAAAGAAATGGTCCAACCAGGCCTGTAACCAAGGTATCTGATGATCAAGAATGATTTTCAAATCAACACAGGATACTTGGCCCCAGCACTTACAAGAGAAAACAGTGTATAGAAATCTGTTATAGCTGAAAAAGGACCTAGCAATCACAAATACCAATGGTACCACTGAGGACCACTGAGCTGCCTGATCTGTGCTAGTGACATTCCTATGACGTCTATGGTGAGAGAATGTACAGCTGCTGCTTTGCACAAAACAAGGTATCTAGTGTTACTAACTGAAGATGCTGCCTCTATATATAGCATAACTGTTTGGGCAAATGACGAAGAACATGCCATGAGGGAGCATTGTGCTAGAAGCTGGGGAAATAAAACACTCTGATTCTTCTGTATTTCAGTTATCTTGCTATTCTGAATAATAAACTGAGATGAAAACATTCCAACTGTTTTTTTTTCCTATTGACCAGTATTTTCTAGTTAGTACCTTGATAGTCTTAAACTGAATTTTCAGGTTCATTGTCAAAAGAGAAAACAGCTATAAGATCATTGTGTACAACTAAGTCAGTATATATATATATATATATATATATATATATATATATATATATATGATTCTTTGATAAAGTTAAAATAATATTCCATTACTTTTTTCTGAGATTATCAACTCTATGATTAGACTCAATAGCCACCAAGATTCTTGGGTCAGAAACCTACCAACTGCACATTTTTCTTTGCACTCTTCCAGACTTTCAAATCGATTCTGATTTCCTTCACAGCCCCCATATACAAATTCTTCACATTGCTGAGTGAGAATATTGAAAAAAAATCTCTTCATCATCGCTTTGCATGGCCCATCATCTGCCTTCAATGCACAAAATGAATGCATCAATTTCAGTGGTGGCAACTCAGTATCTAGAAGGTAAAAATGGAAAAATAAATAAATAAATAAAACATGCAATGTAAAAAAAACATGTACTCCTCCACCAAAGCCATAATAATATTCTCTCTTTTCTTTTCATTTCTTTTTTTAATATGTTCCTATTTTAGAGAAAGTATGACAACAATAAAGCAGGCTCATTGGAAAAACATGACAAGTTATTTAGTTATCCAAAAGGTAAAGTTAATAAGCCCACTAAATGAGATTCACCTTATCAATTGTTAAAGTTTATTTTTCATCAACTATTAAAGAAAATATAGTATATCTTTTCTAGACTCTTGATAATTATAATTAGTTAAATATTTACCAGTTGATAGACATGGAATTCAACAGTGACAATAAGGCAACTTAACTAAGAGAATGTGTTCACTCACTGGAATAGAGACCTCTGCTTTTGACTCAGGTTTTAGAGACAAATGCTAATGGGCAATTTTTTGAGTTTCTCTTCCTAATCCATACGTGTGTCACTTTTTACACATGAAACATCTTAATAAAAATGTTTAGTAATGTTGCAAAAGTTCAAACAAATCTTTCTGTTTTAAATGAAATGAAGAAATTTCTTGACCTTGAATTATAATTTTGATTCCTAAATATTTACTTATATTAGTCACAGAAAAATTCCTATTATGGGAAGGATATTCACAAAAAAGAAAATAATGAAAGTTTTAAAATTAGATTTTTTTATCAAGTTCAGTAATATTAATAAACACCTAGTTCTGTTTACAGAATTTTCCAGTGAGATAGCTTTGAAATTATAGTTGGTTGGGGATGGGTTGGGGATCTGGTGGTCAAATCATAAAAATTTTAGTTAGTCAGGAGGAGTGAATTCAGGAGCTCAATTGAACAGCATGGTCATTCTAGCTAATAATGTAGTTTCTTATTGAAAAATGCTGAAAGTGGATGTAAAGTGTTCTCACCACAAAAAAAATTGGTAACTATGTGAGGTAAGGCATGGATTAATGAGCTAGATTTAATCCTTACATACTGCACATATAATGAGCTAGATTTAATCCTTCCACATTGCACATATACTTTAAAGGTTATGTTTTTCAAGAATTTTTGTAGTTGTAGATAGACAGCATGGCTTTACTTTTATTTGTTTATTTTTATGTGGTGCTGAGGATTGAACCCAGTGCCTCACACGTGAAAGGCAAGTGCTCTGCCACTGAACTACAGCCCCAACCCTGAAACATCATGTTATACACAGAAAATACATATCATCTCATTTATCATTTTTAAAAACTGAAAAGAAATTAAAAAATAAATAAATAAAATTGTGATTGGTGCAACCGAATAATGACCAAAGAATGCTATAGAGTACTTTTCAGATATTGTCTATGTATTGAGTGTATGTACACACACACACACACACAAAATTTCTATCAAAATTTTGTATTGTTGTGCTGTTTGATATATGTGACAATGATTATTCATGGACATGTAAATTTTCTCTCAACTACCAATACAACCTTGAAAACTTTTGATCACTATTTTGATCTATTTGATAACTGAATTGGCATTTTTGTCTTCATATAAAATAAATTGAACAGGAATGATAGAATAATAAATTTTTCAGACACCAAATTTGATAAGATAGAACTAATATATGACAGAGGATTGTTATGACAGAGAAAAACTTTCAGCACCAAACACGATTGTTGTGGACTCCCTTATTAATAAGCTATAATATTGTTCAAACCTTTAACTAAATTTGATTTCTGTGTATTTGAGCATTTGCATTTCAGCTTTTCTGGGTTTCTGTTCAATTGGCCAAAAGAGTTTTGTGTTTGTGCTTTTTTTTTTTTTGCTACTACAGGGGTGCTTAACCACTGAGTCACAAATAGCCATTTTTATATTTATTATTATCACTTTTTAAATTTTGAGACAGTCTTGCTTCAGCCTCTTTCTTCAGCCTCTCAAGTCACAGATCACAGTAATAAGTCACCATACTCAGCGGCCAATATAGTTTTTGATTTTTTTTTACTTATAGCATGGTGTCATCAAATTTAATCAATACACATAGTATTTGCAAATAATTCCATCATAATGAATTAACCATTCATTAATGTATGCAAGTTTTAATTTCATTTGCTTTTTTCTATTTCTTTATCTAATATTTTATGCTGATAAACTTGTCTGATAAATCAATATTGTCTCCCAAAGGTTTCTATGGCATATTAAGAGTTTCTGAGCAGGCAGGAAACTGAGGCAGGAGGATTGCAAGTTCAAGGCCAGCCTTGGCAACTTAAGAAGACCTTGCCTCAAAATAAAGAATAGAAGAAGCTAGGTATATATCTCACTGATAAAGCAACCCTGGGTTCAATCCCTAGTAACACACACACACACACACACACACACACACTTTCTGATACCTAATGCTGTGCACTAAAATTCATACTTCTCATTTTCTTAAAATACTTTGCCTATGATATACACAGGTAAACACATAATACCCACATTTCCAAATATATTCAGGAAAAACATTCTTATTACTCAAAGATTTAAATGAGATTCATTTGTATTAATAGTTACACTGCTTTCTCTCAATATTGTTGATAGTCTTTATCATCCAGCTAAATCTTTTATAGCTCTCATCTGGAATCACCTGCCCCAGATTCAGCCTGCTATTCAATAACTTCACCACAAGAGTGTGTCAGCGTACCACAAAGTAAAAGATTGCAAACCAAAGTGTCCTTATGTAGTTATTGTAACAACAATAGCTAGTATTACTGAGTAATTACTCAGCACAAAGAGGCACACACAAAAAGATATTCTAATACAAAGATTTTTAAATAATTATATCATTTGATGATCCCACGTTTCTGAGATTGACATTATCTTCATTTTACAAATTATAAAATAACATTACATAAATTAAGCATATTTCTCAAAGTCACACTATAAGTGATGGATGTAGCATTAACTCCCAAGCAGTTTTACAGCAGATATCTCACTCATTCTTAATATCTGTGTGATATTGTCACATACCTCTATGACTGATTTATGGCATAGATTTAATTATAGATTTTTTGCTCAATTATTTACACTTTTCTTAAATTTATAAAAATAAAAATAGTTTCAATAATGAAAGGTAATAACTCCATAGCAAATGGCTAAAGAAACACTATCAACTTTAATTGACTGTATTTTATTAATATCATTCCTCTTATTATTCCTTACTGCCATGCACAGTTGAAGGCATTTCTTACAGAAGTTTTGTATTAGAATACCTTTTCATGCATTGACCTTGTGACCTATACTTAAGCACAGCATCCCTAAAATGGAGGAGTATTTCTGTGTGTTGTCTGACACACAGTGCTTCACCACTCCACTTGAAAGAGATGGCAGTCTTCCCTGTTTTCCATTGCTTACTCAGATAAATCTTTTGAATGTTAATAATCCTTTGCTGATCATGTATCTGTTAGGCATTGTGGCATCTCAGCAAGTGAACAGTAGATTGGATAGCAGCAACCCCTCTCATGGAGTATGTAAACCTTGTAGACTTACATAAATATTTGGGAGATTCAGAGTGCTTTGCAAGTCTGTAACTGGATGCCTACCTGAGGGAATTAAGGCTAGCTTTCCTGAGACTTGAAATTGAGACCTGAAGAAAATGTCTATCAGTCGGGATTATCTGCTTCTGATCAGAAGGGGCAATATCATAGTAATTGAATCTGGGGTAGCCACACAAATAAAATTATGGTTTGCATTCAACCATTTTTGTAGTTGATTCCAGGTATTTTGTGTTCCACAGTTGAGAATGTGTCCTGGGATGTTGGATCAAAGGCTCAGTAAACTATTTGGTGCCTGAGGAAATGTCATGTACTGTCTGTTAGAACTCTCATCCTTGGGTCATTCCTCTGGGAATCTAGAGCTCTCAGGTAACAGAGGCCACCTGCCATTTGGCTCTCTGACTAAAGAATTCAACTTCTATGAAAAGGAACAATACAGATAGGTTCTCTTTGCCTTCTCTTTGCCAGGAAAGTGTGCCAGATGCCTTTATGCTGTTTCCAACCATGTGGAAGTAAGTTATGACAACACTTATTTACAATTTGGAACACTGGAATTCAGAGGGTTTAAATAACTTTTAATTTCACAAAGGTATGAATGGAAAACCACCTCTGTGAGCACAGGCCTGCTCAGTTCTGATTCTGCTGAAACATATCTGCCTTTCTCTAAATGTGTTCTGCTAATCTTGTGTCTCCTAGTCCAAAGGCTTAAAAAAAATCAGTACTTTTATTTATTATGGTGTTTTCTTATCAAGAAGTTTATTCTACATCCTCATACCTGCTGTTTGGGCTGATTTTTTTTTTTAAGTCTACAGTTGACTGTGAGAGAGGTAGAAAAATTCTGTATATTTTTCTGTAATTGATAGTACCTTATTTCAATGAAACAATATATTTCTACAAAGTGATGGTATGATCTTGGCATCATGTGACAAGTTGTATCTCCAAATTTGAACTCATTCAGATGTGGTATCATGGTGTTGCAATATCAATGAAAAATAAAACAGAAAAAAAAACCAAACAAAAAACAAAACTAAGACTATGTAACAAGTAAGCCAGGAGGTCTTCAAGTCTATGCTATAATCAAAATCATTTCCTTTCCATCTAGTTCAGCAAGCTACCTTATAGTGACTTTAAGATTTGACTTAATTATTGAGGGGCTAATTCTAGTTTACTGGATGACTGTGGCATCAGAAACAATTCCCTGCCTGACTGTGGCAGTTCCTACATAACTGGCATACATTTTCTCAGTCCTTCGAGGGAGACTGGACAGAGAGAACACTGGGACCCATTCTCTTTGTACCTCCCAAGATGAGCTTGCCTGTCTTTATCTTGTTGGGATATTGTCCTCAACATCCCTTGTCCCCCTAACTTTCAGCATGTCATTACTTATCTCATTCCCATTTGAGAAAAGAGTTAAATAAAGGACTAAAAATCATCTCATAAGGTCCACATTCCTATTGTCCAAAGAACAGAATGGTTTTTATTTTCTTGGATCTCTAGGAAATTTTTATAACTCTGTATTTCCAAGCCAAGTTCTCAGATCACCAAGTTTGGATGAGTTGCTTTCTCTTTGTATCAAGAGCAGCAGCTTCTGCATGCTCTTTCACTCTGTGCACTATGTTATACTGAAATGGCCTGTCTACCCTCCAGGCTCCCCTCTGAAACTGTGAGATTCTTAAGTATCTGGCTTCAATCATTACTGTTTGCTTTGAACCAACCCATTTCAGGCACACACACACACAAAATGTATTCATACATCTTTGTTAAAAGGGAATACACTGAAAATCATCAACTTAAAGTGGTTAGAGATGTGAAATTGAAATATGTATTTATGGAAATGTCTATCACAAACTACCAAATAAATGATAGGGGCTATCACAATGTTAATATTCTCTATTACCAATAGTTTGAGATGTCTGTCAATAATTTACTAATTTGCTACAAAATATAACTTTTTACATAAAGTATAAATCTAGATAACAAATGCTATGCAGCCTTTTCCTTGTTCTATTTTTCATTATAAGTATGTTCATTTTTATACTCAGAGCTTTTTGGGATTGGAACTAACTTCCATTACAAGATCCTGTGGAACTCTGCCTGACTAGATTCTTACATTAGCTTCATTTCTGAAATTCTCTTTTTGGAAATATGGGCAATAAGGAGAGAATGGCTGAAATCTCCAGTATCTGTAGTTTCCTTTTCCATCCCACACTACTTTCTCCCAGCTAAACGGTGGCATCGTGTTTCTTCAGCACTTTGCTCCCTGCAATATTTCAGAGAGACTTCAGTGTTTAATATTATAGCCCAGAGACTTTCTTGCTTTGGTAATTTGATTTAGGACTGAGTTTAAAAAATAATCATAAAACATATAAGAGGTGTCCAAAGGGAAATAAGACTTAAAAAAAAATTCCCTACATGAAGGGAAAAAAAACTTGAGAAGTTTGACCAACTAAACAAGATAAATGTTTGTAACATTTTACCTGTGATATTTGTATGTTCTTCATCTTCCTCAGGAACAGCATTAAGAGGCATAGGGGCAAGACTAAGCAGCAGACATACAGAAGCCCAAAACACGTGTTCTTTCTTCATTGCATAAATCATCTCTGAAATACAAAAATCAAACATACCTAGTAAATACAGAGCTGATGTGAGCCCATCTCTAACCTTGCTCTAATGCAAATTTCTGTAACTTTAAATACATACACGTATACATCTCTAAGACTCATGTATGCCATGAATCATATTTAAAATGTGTAGGATACATTTAAATTTACTGAAAAAAAAAACATTATTAGTAAATAAAGTTAATAATATTCAAGTATACAGGTCACATTTCAACATTGAAAATACAATTTCAAGGGGCAATGACTAAGAGCCATAGGTAACTGCTAATCTGTACAGCTGTGTGTATTAAGATCCATTTCATGTGAAATCATACTTTCCATAGTTCTTACAGCTATTCTTATTTTTCTTGAATTTTTCTGTTACGTTCTTAATGCAATTTTCAGTTGATAGTTCTTTCTCCCTTTGCTCTGATCCCTCTTTTAAAGAGGAAACACATTTTCAGAAATTCCAACTTTGTTTCCTTTGCAACATATTTGTTTATAACTCATTTCCTAACCAGGTTTTCTATGAGCTGCCAGACAGACAGAACTGTAGACCCCCCAAAACGATTAACATTTCAGCCAGTCCCCTTTGCCTGTTCATCCTCCCCAATTTAGACTGATCTGTTTTAAGAGTCTCACAGAAAAGTGACTATAAGTAGTGAGCTAACCTTCTTACCCTTGAACGGAAACAGATTTCAGCAGGAGAGTGAGGCTTTTCCTGTTCCAGAATGATTTAAAGGTCCAGAGCAAAATAATAATGGGAAAATACAAGCAGCTCTTAAAAACAAAATGAATTCTCCTTTGAAACTAAAGGTGAAAGGAAATGTGTAATGTTCATGCAGCAGAAAAAGAGGAAAGAGGTAACACGTGCACATGTTCAGCCACTGACGCCTGCAGAGTCAGGAAGGAAAGCAGTAAACACAAGGACAGGGTCAGATATTCCACCCAAGCCAATTTAGAGGCTTCTCTGGGTTTGTCGTAGTCACAGACACAGTATGCACCATTATGCGAAGGAAAGGTATACCATTGAATTTAAGCAGTCTTAAATAAAAGAGTAATAAATTCAATTTTACTTTAAGCTTCCTTAATCACTGTGAAATGTATTATTTATTTTCTCATGACACATGGGAAAGTTTAGCATATATCTGATGTTTAGTCAGTGGCAGGATTATATATCTTGTCATAGCACATTAAGTGAATTCACAAAATATGTATGCTTGCATACATATACACACACATATATAATATATGCACATGTGATTGTGAAGGCTCTTTCTACTACACTGCTCGGTATCATCTTATTTTTTATCATCTTATCTTTGAAGACATTTTTCAGTTTTTCTATTTCCATTTGATTCTATGATATGCAATCCTGCTATACCTTGAGTATAACATGAAGCTTTTTTTTTTTTTTTTTTTTTTTCGTTACATGGCTCGAATTAGGCAGAGGTTGAGTGCTTGGTGAAGAATTCAAGAATTAGGACTCCAAATCTATGAAGTTAGTATCTCTAAAAAAGGAAGCCTAACGTCTTCACCAAGTTTAGTCATTAAGTTTTTGGTTTCAAAGATCCAAAGTAAACTTGGACAAATTTAAGTCAAAGGTAATTAGACTTTGTTCTAGAAAATGGGACCCATCTGGGACTAGAGGGTAGGTATATGTTGCATGACAGAAACAACCAGACTTAAGACACTACTGCTGTCTCCTCTTGCTGCTAAACGATTTGCAAGGTTTTATTCTCCCACTGCAGCACAACTTTTTCTACAAAGTTGGAAATGTAGTCATTTACCATTTTTGAAATTTTAAACCACAAAGTTTCATCCATCCAAATAGTGTGAATACTCTTTATATCCACTAGGGTCAAACAATTCATAGTTTCAATTTGTAAAAAGTGCCACACTTTACCCTAATGCATTTGAAGTGAAGCACTCGGGAGAACTTCATGGATTTAATGGGCCCTAAATAAAATTTAGTGGACCCTTAACCAGTCAGGAATATGGAACAAGAAAATGTAATACCTTGGCAAGTGTGTATGGAATTATATTTTAGGGGTGGAGTGAATGAGCATAGTTCCCTGAAGGAGGGGATTGTTGCTTCCAGAAGGAAGAGTGTCAACAGGCAAAGCACTGTCTATATACTACAGCACACTATAGCTAAAATAATTGTGAGGACAATAATATAAACAATTTTGTTGAGCACAGGATCTATTGACAAAGAGTTTTAAAAATGGAGGTTTATGGTTGCAGAGTAAATATTTTGAGGATATGTCTTTACATGTAAAGAAATAATTTATCTAAAATTCAATTGAAAATTAGTTTTTTTCCTTTTAATAGACTTTTTAAAAAAAACATTTACAGAAAATTGGACAAAGTTGGGTGGGAAGCTGGAAGATAGGCATTTGCTTTTTTATAACATTGGATCCAGGTGAGACAAGCTAGGAAAGGTATGTGAAATGCTTTTAACTAATAAACAGTACAACAGTTTCCTAGGTCTATCTGTCTAGTAGAGTTGATGTATAATAATACTAGATTTCAGTCTAAATCATTTCTAAGTGGGCTTCTGTTGGGCAACCATTTGATTGAAACAAAGGGGGTCTAGATGTCACATTTGGTAAAAAATGTTCTCTCTTCAAAGTCCTTGTATGCTTGTTCTCAATACTTTTGAAGGGGGAATATTAATTGTTTCCACTATCAACTTATGGATTACTACTATTATTTTATAATCACATTTACAAATGTGATCATCTATGCCATTTCTGTTACAGCATACTCATACTAACAGCAGAACTGTTTTATGTTTTTCTTCCACTAGTGTGCCAGCTTCAGTGTTTCTCAATGAATCCTGGACCACTGCCTTTTCTTTCACCACTGATAATTGCTCCACATTTCCCACTAAACTCTAGACCAATATTCAACTGCCAGTTGGTGTCAGGTCCAGGACGCTATCCAACTCAGCAGTGTTTTTCTATTGACCTCATATCTTTGTTTTATTTTCTTTTGTTCAAATTAATTACCTTGAGCACTGTAGGGCTCTTTAGAGGATGTTCAAAACTCTGAATAAGTCTAAACAAAATGTGGTAGCTCCACATAGTTTCTCCCAGAACCTTTTATTCTTAGCATTTTCTTTGTAGTCACTTCTAATGCACAATGAAATCCAGATGCCTTGGTGAACTAAACGTCTTTTCATCTACTATAAAGGAGCACACACCTTGGCTGGAGTTTCTACTTGACCAATGGTTTTCTCTAGAGGCAGTTGCTAGGCAAACTCAAATGTGGTTTCCTTCTCAGATTTCACTCCCTTGGACTACAAGGTGGTTGAAGGCCCAGTGAGCTCAAGATCAACCAATTTCATCTTTCATTCTCCAAGGTATTCCATTACTATTACATTTTCCCAGCATGTTTAAACCCTGCTATGATATATCCCACACAAACATTTCATTTTAAATTCCTGGTATTATCTAACAGTTTGCCTGCTTTAGATTTACAAAATAATAATAATAATAAAAAACTTGTAAAGAGAGTACAGAGACTTCATAAACCTGACATCATTATCATCATCATCATAATCATCATCAGCATCCTTATCATCACTTTGGACCGGGGATTAAACCCAGAGGCAATTAAACACTGAGCCATATCTCTAGTCCTTTAAAAAATTTCTTTTATTCCCTGACATTCTTAACATCTTTCATTAATATGGTGCATTTGTCACCATTAGCATACCCAATGTTAATCCATTTTATTAATTGAAGTCCTTACTTGAAGCAGGTCTCCTTAGTTTCCACTATTCCTTTTTCTGTTCTAGCATCCCATCCAGAATACCACATTACTTTTAATTGTCATCTCTTCTAAGGAATCGCTGGCTGTGGCAGTTTCTCAGACTTTTCCTTGTTTTAAACGTTCTTGGCAATTCTGAAGAATGCAGAATTGGCATTTTGTAGGATGCGCCTACAAATTTGTCTGATATTTTTCTCATAATGAAACTATGATTGTAAGTTTGGGGGAAGAAGATCATAGAGTTAATATGTTATTTTTATGACATCAAGGGGCAACGTTCCAACATGACTTTTGACTGTTGATACTGACTTTAATCACTTGGTTTGGGCAGTGCTTGTTAGTTTTCTCCAGTGTGAAGATATTTCTGACTCTCTCCTGTCCATATTATTCTCTGGAAAGAAATCACTACATACATCACACTTCAGGAGTGGGGAGTTATGTTCTCTCTCCTTGAGATCAGAGTATGTATTAAAATTGTCTGAGATTCTTCTGGAGCAGGTATTTGTTCTCTTCCACTTGTTAAATTATTAAAAGCTTTATTTTTATCTGTATGAATTAATGGATATTTGCTTTATATTTTATATCATCATCAAATACAATTTATATTCTTTTTCAAGTTGTCCCCCAGCTTTGGCCAATATGAAAGAGCATTGATCTGGCTCCTATACTTATTTGCCATAGCTTCATTAATGTGGGTTTTCAAATTTTTTAGTGTCTCTTTATTTTCTATTGCTATAAGATACTCTGGGCTCATATTGTTAGTTTCTGTCCCAGTCATAGAGGCAACCATTTATCTAAAGAGACCTAATTCCTATCATTGGAGATTGATGCTAAAAAAAAAAAAAAAAGGTCTGTGCACTTGGTATGTTCATTGTTACTGGGGTGTCACTTCTTTTAGGCCCTCTCTTGGACAGTAAAAGAAATACCTTTGTATACCGCCTTAGGTAGAAGGCGACGCTATTTTTAAATATATCTATGTCCTCTTCTGTGGCTGGATTTTTCACTAACATAAGGGCTTCAAGTTGCATCCACATTGCTGCAACTGCAGGATTTTCTTCATTATTAAAGCTGAATAATATTCCATTGTTTATGTAGTAGATGTTTTCTCCATTCATCTGTTGAGGAATACTTGAGTCGTTTTTGTCTTGGCTATTTTGAATAATGCCGTAATGAAAATTGGAATGCAGATATGATTCTAATATCAACTGTTTTTAGTATGTTCC